ATGTTATAAGATCACTATAATTACAACATTTGTAGTGATCTTAAAATATGCATATGTTATAAATTTGAATAAATATTATTAGCTGTACTCGGTATTGAGCACTCTTTTAAGAATAGTGCTTTTGGTTATTGATATTTTAATCCATGTGTACCAACCCTGTACGCGTGTGTATAGGGAAGGGGAAACGCTCTCACACACGCTCACGTCACACTTTGCCTACATCACAATACTAAAGAAAAAGTTCACCGGAAGAATTATCATGAAAATATTTATAGAAAAGACAAAGAGAAGCGATATCACATCGGTGAGAAAGTGACTGCCAAATCAGGATTGATTACATTACAGACCCTTCTTTGAATTTTGTCAAGTGAAGAATCTTTTAAATAAAATAACCTGCTATATACATATTTAATGAAAGAACAAACGTTTATATAAATTAATAAAAAGATTTGTATGTTTATTCTTTATCAAAGATAAATTATTATTATTATTATTATTATTATTATTATTATTATTATTCTCCTGTGTTTGTGCATGAGTTTCTGAAAAACTCCCAAAAAATGTTTTCCAAATTCAAAAAAATGTTTTAAATATTCACAAACTAAAAAGAATATGCCGATATCAATTATATAAGGGAAGTTTCAAACTTGACATATGTCAATAACTAAGTTCAGTAACTCTGTCCACTCGATTCATGACTTTTAAAGTCTATTTTAAGCAATGCCATCTTCTCACTTTTATAACAGTCTTCTTTGAATACCAGCTTTTTTTCTTTCTTTTTTTTTTTCAACAATTTTGACGTCTGGATTGTTTCATTTCTTCCCTTGATTTCCAGTTCCTTTTTTATGGCTCTTTGAGAACATTTCTAGCATTCCGTTAAAGATTGGCACGGAAATAAATTGAGAACATTGGCAAAATAAGAACAATAAAAAATATTTATTTATTTTTTTTTAATATTATTACTGGTGCTTCCTTGGATTTCTGCAGGATACACATTTTCTTCCGGGTTCCAACCAGAGACCTAAGGTCAGAAATGGCTTCATGACATTTTCCACAGATCATTTTTTTGTTTAAAAAAACTAACATCACGCATATTTTGCATAGATAAAGCTCTTCGTAATGTATGAGCCGTATTTGAGAGTACAATATTTTGTATCTCTATTTTTATATTTCGGACCATTTTCTCGGTATCCAACAAAAATTTGAATATAAATCGTTCTATGCTTACTTACTTTCAGCTTTTATAAGCCACTAGCAGTAGAGCCCGGTGTTGCCCAGGGATATAACAGTAAGAGATAGATCAAGTATCGACCATCATAAAGACTGAAAAATAAAATTGACAAAGGTTATTGTTTAAGGTTGACGGACACGCATGTCTTAATTAGTTTTTTTTTGTTTTGTTTTTTTTACGAATTGGTCAAACCCAAACTCAAACAAAAACATTGTTTTCAATCGTTATGAGTCTACCGATTGAATAGAATTTTATTATAAACAATTGTCTTGTAAATGGAATTTTTAAAGCATTCTGAATGTAAAAATAAAGAAAAAAGTGTGCAAGACAATAAGAAACACTACCTGCCAAAACAAAAGTGAAGTTTTTTTTAAATCGGTTGAAAAATGTAGGAAATCTGATCCCATATATAAATGAACACACACACACACACACACACACACACACACACACACACACACACACCCTGGGTTTTATAATAATTATAACTCGATATGAGTTGTCCCCCTTTCATTCTCACGATGCCTCTTAATCGTGTTTTCAAATTGATTTCGTGCAAAAACAATTGTGTTTTCCCAATTTTTGGCGCTGTCAGAACCACCGCAAGGTAATTTTACGTAGTCCTGTGAAGTTTTGTTGAAATCAGGTGAAAAATGTAGGAAATCCGATCCAATATATAAACATCCGGACACACACAACCTGGGTTTTATAATAAGTATGATGATTATCAAGGAGGTTTTATTGATAATGTTGCGACTATATCTAGGCATTTTATCTTCACGAGTAATGCTGGTTTTATCACATATCACGTCTTCAGACATCACATACAAACACACTAATTTTTTATTGTATTTTCTCAATACGATTTTTTCTATTGGGATCAAAATTAATACTAAACTGTCCGAAGTTCCTGTTTGTGCTATTGATTTGTTCGAATGCTTTCAACATTCTCAGTCATTTTCAAGGACCGATACGGCCTAGCTATGCCATTAACCGTTACACGTAAGGTCACGTGGACGATATTTAAATACATCTTTCTAAAGAATACAATGATGTCGGTAACGGTATCTTGCCTGCCACACAGACACACCAAAGTGGTTCTTCAAAAAATGACTGAAAGTCGAATGTATTTTAGTAGTTTATACATAGTTTTGATCGTAATATCTTATTCGAAAATTGAAAAATACATTCTAAAAGAAAAAAAAGAAAAAAAATTGACAGAACTTGTCGGTTGGATTCAGTCAAACTTGTTTTGGTGAATACATAATATCTAAATATAAATCACAGACACACAGACACACACACACACACACACACATATATATATATATATATATATATATATATATATATATTCATACACATTTCATTAAATAATATAGACAAGTGTTGTCTATTTATTTTATGTAAACTCTTTTCATGACGTCTAATAAGTTTAATAACATTATCATTGAACGAAGAAAGAAATTCACAATATTGATCCATATTTTTTTTAAATACAATCTAAGGTTTCGGCTTACATAAGCCATTATCAAAGATATCAATTGCAACATATTAAGCAATATACGGACAAGACAGTGATGACAGTCTGTGAATGTTTACATAGATGATCTCTAAGCAACGATAAACACGTGCATATATTTATACACACACACACATACATACACATACACATATACATATACATATCTGTCGTTCGGAGTTTCCGTGGCAAGTCTTTTGCACCGTTACTTTTTTATCGGCAGATTCAAAAAGTATAGATGGTCCTACAAGCCTTCACCACTTGAAACAAATCATTATGTTGCTTTTCTGACAACTACATCTAATTAGTCCCACGCATATCATAATAACGGTATAAATAAATAAGTTAAGTCCTAGAAGAGCTGCGGGTTCGATTCCTGCCGGAGTCAGAATTATTCTTTCGTAGGATTTTACTTAATTTAGGCCGATTGTTGTTAATTTCACTGTTTCATAAAATGAAATAAAACATGGGTAACAACCCAAACACGTGTACCTACTGAAATAGTTTAGAGTAATATATATTTAATAAATTAAGAAAAATGACTTATCCGATTAACCATGTACCTTTCCTGGATTACTGAATATTATAGCCCTACTAGCAGTATGGCCCGGCGTTGCCCGTGCTTGATTCAAAAATCGTACGACTCATACAGCAATCGCTATCACTTGACTTAAAATATTTTTGCCCTTCCTTGCCTTTAAAGGAGTGCCCTTTGCCGTGCTGATGTTGCTACATGCCTTACTTCTTGCCTATCTCACACTGCGAATTTTTTTCTAAGCTCTATACTAAACATTAAATCTGTTACAAAAAAAAAGAACTAAACAAAATGAACACAAAACGATCAGCTTTAAAAAGGACTCGTAACTAGAAAAACCGAATGAAAAAAGAATGTTAACAACAAATACTTTTTCACACCGAACACAGTTCTGCGGAATCAGAATCAACGTTGAGTTTAAGCAAGCGAATGAGCCAATTGGAGTAAAGTGCCATGCAGATTTAAATTTTTCCCACTTGTGACGAATGCAGCTATCGATTTTTTTTTTTTTTGCATGCTAGCATGCTAGTTAACATTCGTGTCAGTCAGCTGTTGGCTCTCACGCTGGCCAATAGAATCTTCCTGCCTATTCGTGGCAGCCAGCTATGGGCTCTCACTCTGGCCAGTAGAAAATGGCCCCAAACTACATGAAAACTGCCGTAAAAGCATGAAAACATCGATTATTTCCACTATCGATGGTAGTTGGGAAATGCAAAGTCGGGCTTCCCGCTAACTTGGAGCATGTGCATGTAAATTTTAGTGCAAATCCGTCGAAAATGGCGGCCGTGCATTCGTTACACACACACACACACACACACACACACACACACACACACACACACACACATATCCTGCCTTTTATAGATAGCTCTATAAGATGGCATAAGTTCTTTTAGCCGGGGTATGACCTTTTGTTGTTTCTCCTTTAAACAAAAGACAGAGATTAACAACAAAAAAAACTTAAATAGAACACCCTCTTCACAGGATATTGGGCTGTGCATGTTAAATATATATTTTTTTTTATGTGGGAGGGGGGTCCTGGATCGTTGGTGTCTCAAGGATTTTATTGATTTTTTTATTATTTATTATCATTTATTTATTTATTTTTATTATTTATTTGTTTTATTACATCAACAGCCATCGATTCTTGCCTGAGTTTATTATTATAGCTTTGTCAGATTAATGCTTATACTTGTATTTTTTTATCCCGTGACCCGTAGGCTCTTAGAGGTACCACGTGTACTGCAGCCGCAGTAGAAGTGGTCTTTCTTGATAGATAGCCTTGTCTTGAATTCAGAATTTTCCTTTTCCTAGACCGGTTGCCACCCAAGACTATAGACCCCAGTCTGTCCTGTTATTTACCTATAGCTTCTCCCAAGGTTATTAAGACATAAGTGAATGCAATGGATCCGACTGGAATTCGAACTCTGCTCTCTGGTTCCGCAATCCAATCTCCTCGTTACTCTACCGTGCCTCCTAACACTTGTATACGTTGCTACAGACATATCAACGCATGCATATTTATTTACTAAGCTTAGCTTTGATCTGGCGCCAGATAGATGGAACTCCCAATGAGGATCGACTTTTTTAGTAATGGTCTGCTAGACTTGCTCGACAACTATTACACCATGCGTGGTGCCTCATAAATTCTTTTACGGATTTCAAAGACTTCAAATCACCGTCCCTCTTAAACTACTCTTTGTGGTGTTCAGCCCGACATTTCTTTCGCTTCGTCTATTAACGCCATCTCTACTTTCCTTATATTCATTTGTTCCCCACTTCTTATGTCTTCCCGCCACTCTTCGTTCTTTTTTTATTTTCTCAATGCCTCTGCTTGACCAACTGAGAGTTGCATTTTTCTGCTTCTGCTTAAAAAAAAAAATCGCCATTATTAGTGGATTGCCGGAAGTGAATACTTTCCGTATTATTAACACCTGTTGGTTAAAATAGGTCATGCCTCTCTCGATAGATAAGTTTCTCTTGAGATTTTTATTGCTTTCATTTTTGAATTTGTTTCTTGTTGTTCTTTTTAGTTTTTTTCTTATTCTCATACACACTCCCAACTTTTCAGACTTTCATCTTTCTTTTTACCTTATTTACTTTTTTTTCACTGTTTTTTTCCCCATTTCTCTCCAATAAACTTTCTTTCTCCATTGTCTACTTCTTTCAATCTTTGTTTTTTGTTGTTGTTTTTTTTTTTTTTTTTGGTTTTGTTTTGTTTTTTTCTTGCTTTTTCATTCCTTTGTCTTTTTTCCGTTTTCGTTCCTTTTTTACCCTTTTTTCATTTCTTTTACCCTTTTTTCATTCATTGTTTTACCCATGTTTTCATTCCCTTTGTATTTTTGCTTTTTTCATTCCCTTTGTATTTTTGCATGTTTCATTCCTTTTGGCTTTTTGCTTTTTTTTCATTGCTTTTGGCTTTTGGCTTTTTTTCATTCCTTTTGGCTTTTTGTTTTTTTTTCATTCCTTTTGGCTTTTGGCTTTTTTTCATTCCCTTTGTATTTTTGCTTTTTTCATTCCCTTTGTATTTTTGCTTTTTTTCATTCCTTTTGGCTTTTTGCTTTTTTTGATTCCCTTTGGCTTTTTACTTTTTTCATTCCCTTTGTATTTTTGCTTTTTTTCATTCCCTTTGGCTTTTTTCCTTTTTTCATTCCCTTTGTATTTTTCCTTTTTTCATTCCCTTTGTATTTTTGCTTTTTTCATTTCCTTTGGCTTTTTGCTTTTTTTTATTCCTTTTGGCTTTTTGCTTTTCATCATTCCCTTTGGCTTTTTCATTTTCTTTTTTCTCTCCTGGTGTTCCTCTTTTTCCTTTCGTGTTCTCCTTTTTGTTTTTTCCCCTTTTTCTCTCTAAGGAAATTTTAATGTTTCTTAAAACTTTGCTGAGCTTATTGGGAGGCAGATTTTGCTCTTCCAATGCTCATTCGGATTTGCTATCAAAGCTTCTGTCCTCTGTTCAAACACTCCCTAGATATTCATATTTTCCTACTTTTCTTGTTCATTTCTTATTCGTCTTTTATTTCCTTTCTGTCCCGTATCACTTCCGGGCAGTGACAATCCTGGCTCACTACAATTTCCTTTCCTTTGTAGCTCTTAATAACTTTTTATCTTTTTTGCTGTTTTTCCAAAACCATGCTCTCGCCCTTTTATCTTCAATCTCTCCTGTGAGTATCAGATTTTCCAAGCCTTCTTTTTTCATCATGCGCCTCAAACATTGCAACTGTCTCTTTTTATGTAAAGCATAAGTGTCCTTTTTCATTTTTTGTTTACTGAGCGTGAAAGAATAAAAAGAAAAACATTGAGGGCTTTTCTATATATATATATATATATATATATATACAAAGAAATAATCACGCATAGAATCAATCAGCAATATTAATGCTATTATTGGCGACATCCACCGCTAGTAGTGTATAATGTATGCATTAAAATACTGTTAATCCATAGAGTGACGTGATCCTCATCTATAAAACTGTTATCTGTTGTTTCCAGTTTATATTTTTTTAAAATGCAAGTACTTTCGAATAATCCTTTATTCATCGTCAGGCATATCTTTTCCTTATAAAATCGAAAACTTGGAGACAAAATAATTGTTTGTAGACCGAATGATGTTCTTTTTGAGAATGTGCTATTATTGACGGTTGTGTACAATATCGGAACGTGCAAAGACGCAACGCTAAGTTTTTCAAAATTTTAAGTGAGAATTTTATTTGAACTTTTCTTGTGATGTGGTAAATCCACGTATTCTATTTTTACAAGTGTTTTCAATTAATATGTCATGAACTAAGTATATAGTTCAATTAATATAGTGTTATGCCTTAGTAGTAGTTTTTTTATAAGAATATTTTGTACTGCGGATCGATAGTTTTTTATAAACATAAAACATTAACATGGATTAACAGTATTTTAATGCATACATTATACACTCCTAGCGATGGATGTCGCCAATAATAGCATTAATATTGCTGATTGATTCTATGCGTGATTATTTCTTTGTATATAAATTATATGCTGCCTAATGTTTTATATATATATATATATATATATATAAACATTTCAAAAACAATTTCATTCAATTGTGAATAAGTCCTGAAAATTTCATTAAAATCTAACAATTATTTGATTTTTGCAAGAATTTCCAAATCTATGCTTTTTTAATCGCAAAAATAGACTTAGCGTCTTATATTTCGTAATATTCTGGCCCAGCCACTGACGCAGATAAAGAAGATTTTTAACCAAATTTTCGAACGTGCTAGAAAGGATTTAAAAAATTAATAAAATAATGAAAAATATTTTGGTCTTTCCTCTTGATAATAACATAAATATTTTGACAATAAAACTTTGTTTTTATCAAGTTTGGGGCCCTTTTTCATCATGCTATTATCTTTTTATTTAGAACATTTTGGAGGTACCTAGATTATTATAATATAGGTTCTAACGCTTCCCTAGGTGGACAGTCGGTTAATAACATAAGTCAGTTTATTTCTCCTACGAATAAAGTCCGTGTTATCAAATGCAATGTACGCTTACCGTTATCGTCCCTTTTTGTACCAGCAAAAGAACAGAGACCCTTGTCATTATAATCAACGTCCATCTTTGTATCAACATCATCCGTGTCAGCACTGCCCTCTAGCGAAGAAAAAAAAAACGTTATCAGTTGCATGAGTGTAAGATCATGGTTGAAATATCTCTTGTAAACATGATCAACACCGACATCTTTGCTTCAGCAATCTGATCTATGGCAGCTGGATATAGAGGAGCTTCTTTTTTCCCCACTTTTTCTTTCTTTCTTATCCTCATTATAATACACTTTCTTCTTGTATCAAAGTATTGCAATTTATTTTTTTTCTGTCTTCTTTTCTCAGCAAGACATCGGTACACGCGCTCGTAAAGAGAAGTCGCACACACTTGTACTTACTGCTGCGCATGCGCAAAACTTTAGCAAAGATCATGCAGAAACATCGAAACTAGTTTTAAGTGAAGATATGAGAAACTTCGTACACCAATAATATAAGCAGTTTGGCGTGTATAAGTCTTTAGTTACTTACATCCCTCTCTCGCGTATGTGCTAGACAAAGTAGCAGCAATAGTGAAACCACAAATTAGAACGAACCGGAACATATATATGCAGGTATACCTCGGGTTACGTCGTTTCGAGTTAAGTCGTTCTCGATTATACGTCGTTTGTCAAAAATATATGGAAAAATAAAAATCAAGTTTAACTCATTTTATTCGACTTTACGTCTGTCCGCCACAAATATCGAAGTCGTAATATCACTAGAAAAGCGTTATTTTATAATGTCTTAGAGCAAAAGACATTCACAAATAAAGAGCCTGCAATGTACTGAAAAGACCGCCAAATTGTAAACATCTACATTTACAAGTATGTATGTAGATATATTCGTAAATTTACATTACGTTTTTTCGGTACTATATTAAAAAGTAAAATTTATTTGTTTGTAAGCTTAAAATAGATTCTTATTGACCATATATTATTAAAAATACATTTATAAATAAAATACAAAACTGGAAAAGGTTATTTGTGGTTTAACCCAGTGATAAGTAAATTCGGGGACAAACTGAATTCGACTTAAGTCAGTTTTTGACTTAAGTCGCCTCTCCTTGAACAAATTAGGTGAGGTATACCTATATAAAGGATTCCAGTAAACTTCGACGTGGTGTAATGCTTAGCCAGCTGGTCTGACTGGATCATTTATGACTGAATAGTGAGTTCGATCCTTGATTGAGGCCCCCATACTTTCTGCCACATCTGAGCTATGCAAAGAAATATCAAGAATATTGTATAGAGGATGGATGACTATTAGTCATTTTGTTTCAAATTTCTACAGAAAATATGTTAATATTAGCCGTTTCCTTATTTAGAAACATTTGGCATTCATTAAGTAAGCAGTGCTCTCATTGGTTGAAATTTATAAAAATCTTTCAACATTTCAGTGAAATAGCCTTATCTTATCTGTTATCGTTACTTCCTATATTAATGGCGACTTTCTTCCTAACCTTTTGTTTGAAGTAGAGATTTACTTGAACCACTGAGTCAGGTTGTGACACAAGGTCAGTTTTTCACGTGGGGACCCAAGTGTTTTCACTCGGGCCGCTGGTCCAAGCTGGCGTTAACTGGTCATAGATTGTCCAAGCTGGTCAGAGCTGGTCTAAGCTAGTCATAGCTGGTCTTGGCTTGTCATAGCTGATCCAAGCTGGTCAGAGCCGGTCCAAACCAGTCGTAGCCGTGATACCACCAGCACAGAGACGGATCCCTGTTCCAGGTAAGTTGAAGTAATGTGGGAAGTCAAAATCTCGCATATGTTCTTTCCCTTTCGAGTTAAATCTGGTAAAAAAATGGTTACTGAGACATTAGGTTTATAAGTCTCAAAAAATTAATTCACTGATGTCCCCAAGGACACGTGGCCCAATGGATAAAAGTGAGGGTTGAAGTAATCCAAAAGTTTTCAATATCAGGCCACGGCAGAGGGGAACAAAAACTTGGAGAGTTACTGAAGGAAATTAACTGAAAAATAGATATGCAGAAAAGGCATGGCACGTGGAACTAGAACAATTTATCACCGTGGACGAAATAAAAGGTTCTGTTTGAAATTCCAGCGTATATAACCCGAGGAAAGCCGGAGAATACAACGGCCAAAACCTCGTGAATATGACAATAAAGACAACAATCCGAACAGAAAACCTGTGACTGTGAGTTATAGAAAAGGAAAATTTGCAGGTTGGAGGAAAAAATTGCAATAATAATGTCCAAAGACTCCAAGGACTTGCTAAACAATACGTTAGAAATTATGACAAATTACAGACGAGAGAAGATTCCTACCTACAAAATGGAAGCCGGGAATTGAAAAATAATAGGAAAGAAAGAATAATGAACTCCATCAATTACCAAGGGTAAAAATTAAATAAGAAAAATCAGATTTGCAAATTTTTGGTTTGCTGACATACGATATATTTAAATATGAAGTGGCGTGAGAATACTTTTTTATTATAATTATTATTATAATTATTATTATTATAATAAAAATAATAATAACAATTATAATTATAATAATAATTATAGTAATAATAATATTTACAAATATAATAATAATTATAATTGTAATAATTATAATAATTATAATAATAATAATTATAATCATCATAATAATAATAATAATAATAATAATTATAATTGTAATAATTATAATAATTATAATAATAATAATTATTATAATTATAATCATAATAATAATTGTAATAATAATAATAATTATAATTATTATAATAATAATAATAATTATTATTATTATTATTATAATAATTATTATAATATTATTATTATTATAATTATAATAATAATTGTTATTATTATAAAAATAAAAATAAAATAATAAGCAAACTAGCCTGAAGATCCGAAGTGTGAAACTATAGTAGCGTGGTAAAGTAATTATACCGAGAAGATTTTTTTTGTTTTTTTTTTTATTGTCCTGTAGCTTTGATATTTAGCACTTTTTGAAATCGATTATGTGCCGTAATTAACTATAAGGAATGCAAATAGACCCCCTTTCTCTTTAAATATAGAACTAAAACAGAGCATTCATGGATAAATGCAATGAGCACTTTCCTTCTGTTTCCCGGTTTACTTCTTTCTATTTATAGAATATGTGTTTTCAACTTCCGCTCAAGATTAAGCCCAGAATTCCTTCATCTATTCCTAACCCGATTCCTCGGTTGACTCTTTAAGGGAATCTCCGCCCCTTTTCATATTAAGGGTAAATATTTAAGTTAAAATTTACTTAACAAACCGAACGAATTTTCGGGCCAATCCTAAATATACAAATTGCGATTTTATAT